CGCGAAAGGTGAGGGGAGCGAAAGAGCGGCTTAAGTGACGGGTCTGAAGTGGAAATGATACGTCCAGGGTGGAAATGTTATCGCCAGGGCTGGAAATCCTATAGGCAGGGGAGAAATCCTATATCTGGGGAGAAGAAAACCTATATCCCGGAGAGAAATCCTATATCTGGGGGGAAGAAATCCTATATTCAGGAGAGAAATCCTATATTCCAGGGAGAAAACCTATATACGGGGGGAGAGAACCTATATTCAGGGGAGAAATCCTATATATGGAGGGGCATATCCTATATCAAGGGGAGAAATCCTATATTCAGGGGAGAAGTCTGATAATCCAGGGGGTGAGAACCTATATCCAGGGGAGAAATCCTATATCCAGAGGGTGAAAACCTGTATCCAGGGGAGAAATCCTACATCCAAGGAGGGGAAAAAATCTATATCAAGGGGGAGAAATCCTATATGCAGGGGAGAAATCTTATATTCAGAGGGAGATATTGTATATATGGGGGGGAAATCCTACATTCAGGGAAGAAATCCTATATCCAGGGGGGATAAATCCTATATCCAGGGTGGGCTTTGCCTCCCTGGAGGTGCCCAGGATGGGAGATGGGTGCTTCTCGCTGTGCTGCCGGCTGAGCAGGAGGGGGGAAAGGAGAAAAAAGGGGGGAAAAGGAGGCAAAAAGGGAAAAAAGGGGGGGAAAGGAGGGAAAAAAGGAAGAAAAGGGGGGAAAAAGGATGTGGTTTTCTGCTGGATCAGCTCCCCGAGGAGGGGACCCGCTCCTCCGGGGTGGATCAGCTCCCCGAGGAGGGGCCCCGCTCCTCCGGGTGAGGACGGAGGGGTGCAGCCCCTGCTCACCCCAATTTATCTGTTTATGCATAAGCAGCCCCCGACCCTGCCTGGAGAGTAATTGCGGGGGGGAGTGTAGAATAATCTGAATAAAAAAGCAGAACTCCCTGTCTGATCGCTGGATTTGGGGTCGGGGGGGGACTTTTCCCGACCGGGATGCGGGATGCGGGATGCTGGCCACGGTGCGGGGTGGCTGCCGGCCCCGGCGGGACGGATCCTGAACCGGTGCGAAACGGGAGGGGGGCTGAATATGGGCCTGGGGGTCTGCAGCC